AAGCATGCAGTAACTGTGAGTATGTTATGCATGTTAATGGAAAGGTTATGACTCTAGATATGCTTATTGGTGGATGAGCTATGGCTTATTTATATGAGTATGATAGTCTACTAATTCCCGCGGAGTTCCTGGCCAACGCGCTGTGTGCTAAGTCAGGGAGCAGGAGTACTCCTGACCGTTGGTATATGAGATAAACAGGCCACCAGAGCAATTAGTAGACGGGCCGTATTTGACCGAGAGCGAGTCTTACATACGAGTCCGAAAATTCTAGATAAGCATATCGAGAGAGAGTCAGTAACCTAGCTGGAGGTAGCTGAGATACCTCATTAACGAACAGATGACCCTAGTAAGAGAACTAGGAGTCAGTGATGAATAAAACGTAAAAACACCTGGAAAGATTAGTTATGAACCTGTGAATGATAAACTAGCTACTTACTGAGTAATCTAATTACTCATCAGAATTATTATAACTTTTCTTTCCAGATGTAGATGCTGCAGGTCAGCCGAGGACGAGACCAGCGGGCTAGAGACTACTGGGAATCCATGTCTGGGTCTGTTCTGTAATTATGTTTCCGTTGTCAAGAATTTACCTTAGTCGTTTTAAGTTTTTTGTAAAGTACTGTTTTTCTTTTATAGAAATACTTTACTGGATGTTTTCAGAAATATTTTTAATTTTATGATTGGGTATCAGAGTCTCTTAATATTGTCGATAGTAACTCCTGTTAATCGCGTTGGCGATGAGCGGGCGTTACACCTTGGATCTTTGGGAAGTAATAGAAGAGGATTACGAGGTCCCTCCGCTTCCAGCAAATCCTACTGTAGCACAAATCAAATTACAGAAGGAAAAGAAGACAAGGAAATCAAAGGCAAAAGCTTGCCTATTTGCCGCTGTATCTGAAATGATCTTCATGCGAATAATGTCCCTCAAAACAGCAAAAGAAATCTGGGATTATCTCAAGGCTGAATATGAAGAAGATGAGAGGATTCGTGGAATGAAAGTCCTGAATTTGATCAGGGATTTCGAGTTGCAGAAGATGAAGGAGTCAGAGTCAGTAAAAGAGTACTCTGACAGACTTCTCAGCATCGCCAACAATGTGAGATTGCTTGGTTCTGTATTAAATGATTCCAGGATAGTTGAAAAGCTGCTAGTCACTCTTCCAGAGAAGTTTAAAGCCACCATTACTAGTCTGGAGAACACTAAAGACTTGTCAAAGATTTCTCTTACAGAGCTCTTAAATGCTTTACAAGCGCAAGAGCAAAGGAAGTCTATGAGACAAGAAGGGGTGATTGAAGATGTCTTACTTGTTAAGCATCAAGACAGCCGCAGGTATAAAAACAACAAAAATTTCAAAAATCAATTGACGTATGGAGATTCATCTGCCAATTATCAAAAGACAAAAGGAGGAGGTTTCAAAAAATCCTATTCACCTTGCCGCCATTGTGAGAAGAAAGGTCATCCACCATACAAGTGTTGGAGAAGACCTGACGCCTTCTGCTCCAAATGTAATCAACTTGGACATGAAGCTGTGATCTGCAAAGCCAAAGATCTGGTGAAAGAAGTAGATGCACAGGTCGTTGATCAAGGAGAAGAAGAAGAAGAAGAAGATCAATTGTTTATGGTCACTTCTTCCTCAAGCAAAGAATCAAGCGAGAGTTGGTTGATTGACAGTGGGTGCACAAATCACATGACATATGACAAGGAGTCTTTTGAGGAATTAAGAGACACCGAAGATAAGAGAGTGAGGATTGGCAATGGGGAACACTTGGAAGTCAAGGGAAAAGGCACAGTAGCTATAACAAGCTATGAAGTGTTGTTTGAGAATAAGCAGTGCTTGATCAAAGATGCTAGTGGCAAAGACTTGTTCAACGTCAAAATGAAAGGAAAAAGCTTTGCTCTAAATCCGACGGCCTTTATATCTAGAGCTGGTGCCACTGGGACTTGGCACAAAAGACTTGGGCACTTTTATCATCGAGGTTTGCTTCAGATACAGTCAAAGAAGCTGGTAGAAGAACTCACTGACATTGATGATGACATGTCTTCTTACCGTGCTTGTAATTTTGGGAAGCAACATAGGCAACCCTTTCCTAAACAGGCATGGAGAGGCTCTGAAAAGCTGCAACTGGTTCATGCTGATCTTTGTGGTCCTCAGCGAACACCATCACTAAATGGTAATCTTTATTACATTGCTTTTATTAATGAACTAACAAGAATGTGTTGGATATTGTTGCTAAAGCAAAAGTCAGAAGTTGCGGGTGGGTTTTGGAAATTCAAAACCAAAGTTGAGAATGAAGGTGCATGCTTGATTCAGACTATAAAGTCAGATAATAGCAAGGAGTACACTTTAGAAACTTTTAACAGGTTTTGTTTAAAGGCTGGAATTGAACATCAATTGACAGCACCATACACTCCTCAACAGAATGACGTTAGTAAAAGGAGGAATAGATTCATAATGGAGATGACGAGACGCATGCTTCATAAGAAGTATCTTTCAAAACGTTTTTTGGGAAAAGCAGCAAACACTGTTGTGTGCTTGCAAAGTCGAATCTCAACAAAAGATGTGAAGGTCCTCACACCATTTGAAGTTTGCATGTTAGAAGAGTCTGAAGATAAACGACTAAAAGGGTCTGAAGATGAACGACAAGATGCTTTGGTTGATGATGCACCTGTCAGAGGAGGAGCTCTCGGTGATCGAGAAAAACAAAATCTGGGAGTTGGTTGATCGTCCTCTAAACAGAAAAATAATTGGAGCAAGATGGGTGTTCAGAAAAAAGCTTGGAGTTCACAGCATCTAAACAAGGAGTGTTAAAGATCACGTATTTGTTTAGATTGCTGTCAGTTAGTATCTAATTAAATCTCCGTTAGGAGTTAGATCTAGTTTTTTATTTAATTTAGTTTTTTATTTGATTAGATTTTATTTTGATTTGTTTACTGGTTTGTTAACGGATTTTCTGCAGATTTTTAGGTAGATTTTCTACATATCTCCTTCTATTCTCTGGGTATATATAGAGTATTCTTGCTCTTCAAAATTTAATCATCTCATCTACCATTCAATAAATCCCTCTTTCACTAACAGGCACACTTCAAGACTTGTTAGCCTTCATAGCCTTCTATGAAAATGTTCCTTGAAGGTGTAGAAACTGAATGAGATTGGTCTCAATCGATAAATTTGCATATATGCTCGGATTGAATTTTCAATCTTTCTTTGAACTTCTTCAATGGTGATCCGTATTGGGGGAATGGGTTCTAAGCTCTTTTTGCCCTCGGTTCCTTCATAAAAGTTGTGCTTAATCTTGTTTAGAAACTATAGGAGTAAATTTGAAGGAAAATGGTGGACAATTGCTCTCTAATTTGTTAGAAAACTAAGAGTAGAAAACCCAAAAACTCAACTGCTATATCTCACGATCGATAGCTCGACTTAGCTTGATTCTTATTTCAAATGAATGGCCGTGCTTCAGACTTTATAGGGAACTTAAACGCACGTTGAAATCTCAAGAACCATCATAATTTGGAGATTGAGTTTTATGATTTTTCCGTTAGAAATATCTTCTCTCATCAGCGAGCATCCGACCTCCAATTTTAATTCTGAACATTGGATGTGATGAAGTGTGTCTCCTCTAGAATATACTCAAATTTGGTAAATATCTAACGGTTGAAAATGGAGATCCTAAGATTGTTTGATCAAGGCTTACTGTCTCTTTTCTGATCGATAGTATTTTCTTAAATATCTGGAAGTTCAAGAGTATTTTGGTATTTTGTTATTCTCTAAATATTTTATTGTTATTTTTCTAAAAAATCCAAAAATTTTCTAAAAAATTACTTACTTTTTTTTTTTTTTTTGTTTTTTTTTCTCATTTTCCCTTCTCGAGCACTTGAAATTCCTTCTCAACAATGAATCAAAAATCTGAGAACTTCCTTAAAAAAAAAAATTAGAAAAATGACATTTTCGTCCCTTTCGCTTACTATTTCATTTTTTTATCATTTTTGAAAGGTCTTGATTCCTAATATTATTTGTTAGGTTATTGAAATGACTTACTTAAGACCTTTGTCCTTACCCGAATGCTTTAATTTCTTTCTTTGAATTTTTTGGGTTACTTTTAACCTTACTTTGGATGTTACCCGTGGGATATGTCACCCATTTACATGGCTGAAGTTATGCAAATTACTGTCCATGAGATCAACAAGCTTCGTCGACTAAGGTTAAGTTTCATCTCACCATTTGAGATATTTTGAGACATGAAACCTTTGTTAACTACTTTCGAGTATTTAGTTACGTTTGCTATGCATTTGTGCCTAATCATCTACATAACAAGATATGAACTTCTACCTGCAAGGGTTTGCCTTTTAATTTGCATGAGTGAGATGACTTGTATACCTAAATTAATAAGTCTACCATTAACAATATAAGGAGCTAGGATTTTAATCTCATAAGATAAAATTTACTTCTTTATATATAGGGCATGTAGATGAGTAGTTTCTTTAAGCGTTGATTTTGAAACTTAAACAATGAAGTCTCTCTCTCACAGTCCGAGAGGAGCTTAGTTTATGATTGGATCATAAAAAAATTGTTTATTAGATGATCGGTAGTACTTAAGATATATATGAAATTACAAGGTTAATACGTACTTTAACCCATAAATAATTATGAACAACTCAAGAATGATTACATCAATGAGCCCAACTTATTTCACATTGCATAATAATGCAACTCTAACTCATGGTGAAACGACCTATAATTAACAAATGAAAATTAATTAATTAATTTTATATCATTGGAACTTATAACTCATAGGACAATTAGGTTCCATTACTTGTTCATATGAATAATAGGCGATCAATTTTATTGAAAGAAAATTGAAAAATGTTTAAATTAATATTTAATATATTCTATATATTAAACGAGTAAACATGTATATTAAGTTCGATACTTTGAATATGAAAAATATTATCAATATATTAAAATATATTTAAAAAATAAGAATGAGATTCTAATAATCATAAATGTCCTGGTAGAATTGAAGATGATTTGAATTAGATTGAAATAAATTAAAATTATGTATTTTAATAAAGAAGGGTAAAATTTGAATTTTAAAAAATAGCACTGATAATCAAAATTGAAAAAATAGCCTTAAAAGATCAAAACCTCAAAAATAGCTCAGAAAGGTTAAATACTACAAAGATACCTATGATACCTTTGAATTTGTGTAGATTTTCTGCCTAGAGGATTTGTTTTTCCTTTTTTTTGCAAATGGATGGTTTTAGTTTAAATGATTTGAACATGATATTTGTTCGATTAAGTATGACACTGATACCCTATACTTTTAAATAGAACAAACTCAGATAAGTTATGTGTCGTGTTTTCTGTTGTATACTAAATGTTTAAGAACACAAAACATAAAGGCATCTAAACAACCATATAAACAACCATACGTACATGAGAGAATCAGGACAAGAACAAAGAGGGAGGAAGAGAAGTTCGCCATCTCCTAAAATATCAGTGTTGTAATATACTAAATTTTATGTGCTTGAATGGATACTTGGTTTGCTCATTTGCCATTGTAGAGCCTGTATTTATATACACATTTTGTTTGATAAATATTGTGACTCAATAACTTTTTATATCTTCATTGGAAAGCAGGCCAACTATGGTAGCTTCAAACCCCTATGGAATTAACTAATCTTTTCATGGAATGACCTTAACTACCTCGACCAGAGTAGTATGTATCGTCGTATAAATTACAACTATTAAAGATTCTGACATCAAGTAAAGGAGTAAATGAATGAATCAATACTACGTCCGGATGAAAATAATCTTGAGGATAGGATGTTAAGAAAAGCTTAAAAAAATTAAAAGTTACTTTCCATTCCAATGGTAAGTGTGTTTTGCTTGTAACAATTTTATGTTGGGTGATATTTTCAAAATTTTCTTAGAATGCATGTAAGTTAGGATAAAACATGTTAGAATGAC